CACTAAATTTCATCTGGCATTACCCCTTAATTGGATTCTTATACATAGTGGACAATGGTTTATATCATCTCTAAAGTGGTCCTAACTATACTCCCGACAATACGTTGCCACTATTCCACACAGCACCGGTTCTAGTGGCTTATTCGTAGATATGAATTTCAATACATTCCACACATCTGTCCTCAAATTCTGTGGCCAACTTGTATTTGAACATTAAAATCGACCATGTTTCTTAATATTCATTTTTTTGGTTTAATGATCCTCATTATATCTAGACTACAATCTGTATACATCCTAGTTCGCATATATTTATGAGCCTTCTTTCAATTTTTAACCAAAACTCTGACAGCATTTGATCATTTGCATTCTCTTACTTTTTCCATTTATTCTACACTTCAGCGCCTTAAACAGGCCTATGCACCTATGATTATCATAGGCAGCGATTGTCTCCAGCGGGTTGATGGTGCTGCGCTACATAAATTGGCTCGCCGGATTGCCGCTAGATTTATTTCTGGCGGGATTCGCACTTTCAATGTACTTCACCGTGTAAGTTTTTAAAAAAATCCTTATCAGATAAATTTAACTGCCATGCCATTAGTTTAGACTTCTTTTAGGTTGCAAGTCAAGTGGCCGCCCTTGACCTTGGCTATAAACCTGGTGTTGATCAAATACAATCAAAGAAACCCGCCATCCTCTTTCTATTGGGCGCTGATCAAGGTGCTATTTCGAGAGCTGATCTTCCCGATGGCTGTTTCGTAGTCTATATTGGTTAGTTTTCATTTTCTATGTTGATTAATTCTTTTTGAACTTACCAATATTTTGATATTTTCTTAGGTCACAATGGTGATGTCGGTGCCAGCATGGCTGACATCGTCTTGCCGGGTGCCGCGTACACTGAAAAAGCTGGCATTTACGCAAACACCGAGGGGCGTGCTCAGCAGACTCAGCCAGCTATTATGCCACCTGGCGCCTCTCGCGAGGATTGGCGAATTTTGCGGGCTATATCTGAAGTGGCCGCACAGGGTGGTCGCATGCTACCGTATGAAACGCGTGAACAGTTACACAATCGCATCCGCACTATTGCTCCCGGCTTACTTGTTCTTAACAAACCTGTTGCACCTGCAATCGAGACGTTGGCGCTGGCGGATAAACAAGCAATTTCC